CATAACCAACCAACCTCTTACAGTTCAGTGCTTGCAAAGCCCCTTCTCACAAGCTTGTTTCTGCTGTTATCATAATATTTATAACTACCTTTCTCTTCAGCCTGCCTTTAGAGAGACCCAGGTGCATGCTCTTCTCTTTCAAAAGGAAAGGGGAAACCATCACTGCAGATAACTTCTTCACATGTGTGTGTGGAGAATCAGATGCACCTTTGCAGCAAGCTTACAAAAATAAATCCACAGCTGCAGTGCTGGGGAATGAAGAAAGAATGATGATAAAATCTTTCAAATAGCTTTTGCCCTGGCAGAAAGCCCAGAAATAGCTGCAAGGACAGGCTGTCCTTTGGGAGATTAATGCTCCTCCAGTGCTCCCAAGCTGGACTATAGAAAGAAAATATGACTTATTCTGATGCAGTTTCACACAGTGGTAGTTTATTCATGGCCTTTTTTGGGGGATGGGAAATCTATACATTCTTGGCCAGAAGAATACCAGTTTTCTTTGTCTTCCCATACACTTAGGCCTTCAGAAAAAAAACCCCAACAAAATAGGATCTCTATCGTCCTTCTTATAGGCATAATTTCCATCTTGTGCATACTAATTTTTTCTCAGTATGGTCCAAGTAGCTTCTGGGGATATCCTACCTTCCTCTGTCCTGCTGTATTCACAGCCTTGCCATGCAGTGCTGCACATAAACTCTCGTTACACTTCATTTCCGGAGCAAAGGCCAACTTGGGTTCTTAACATGAGCATCCCTTGCCGGGCCAGAAGTGCTCACCTTTGCTGACTTTCTCATTGAAATTCTTCAGGCCTGTGAATTAACAGAGGAATTCAGTCTCCTGACCTAGGCAATACTATTTTGGCTGCTCAGGTATTCCAGGTATGTGGTCTTTGCATTATTTTCAGTGCACTCATGCAGTGTCAGAAGTGAATAAAGTCACTGAATGGAGGAAGCTGGCTGCACCCACAAGCTCCAGTTTCCCTATTACAGAGTTGCATGCTCTCCAAGTGATGGCCAGCCACCTCTCACTTCTCCTTCAGCTGCTCTCTTCCTCTCTTTTGCATGCACACACCCTTTTAAGGAATGGCAGGAGCGAGTTCCAGGCGCAGCAGATGCGTCAGCTTAATTTATATAGGGCAGAGAATCTCCCAGTCCTGAAACTCCTCTGCATCTCCATTGCAGTGTGCGGACAGGTGGAGAAAGAGCCCTGGTCTTTGCCTCCCATTAAAGGAGATAAATGATCTTGCTGGCATGCAAACACTGCAGCTCAGGACAGACCAGCTTGGCTATGTTACTGCTTAGCCCTGCCAACAGTTTATTTCTTCAGAAAAAAGGTGTGAGTAACCCTCTAGACAGCTGCAGAGCAACCTTCAAGCTTTTTGTGTCCCCCACCCCCACCAGTTAGTGGTTGGTTCTGTTAATCCTATTTAACATAACTACAGATAGACATGCAAACTTTAATCCCTCTCCAACCTACCCTTCAGCCTGCCTTGCCTGGAGTTCCACATTTTGAGCTGTAAGCAGACAGTAGGCAGTCTGCCTTCTTTCACACTCCTCATTTCAACTTGAATTGGTCGGTCTTTATGTCTCAAAATGAGGAACTTCCTTTCGTGAGTTATTCAGGGTCCTGCTGCTGTGTACCCTTTTTGACATTAACCAGTCCCCTTCCTGAAGCATTCAGGAGCCTGTAGGTGCTGTAGGTGCTGATGCTGTGTTGATCATAAAACAAAACTGAATTGTAAGGCAGTCATGGAAAAAAACACCAGAGGGTAAAATTGACTAAGGTTTTTAGGACTCTCTCCCTACCCCCTGATTTTCCCCTACAGCTTTTCAGTGTTTTCAATCTCATTTGCCTGAGCAAGTTAATTGGCAGCCAGGTTTGTTACTGCTGTATCATGTCAGAGGCAAGAAGTGGTGTCCTGAACAAACCATGTTTTCTTGGTTTACCTTTGCTGTCCTCCCCTCTCTGACACTCACATAGTGCTGGTAGTAGCTGTCCTTGCTTTCTGTGGCAAGGAAGTGGAGACTTGCTGATACAGCAGAGGCTGTATGGGCTTACATTAGTTTGTACCCACCGGAACAAATTTCCTTTCTTTGCTTTCCATTCACATAACAAGGGAGCAATAGGCCATTAAGAGGCCTGATGAATCTTATTCACACTAAGCTAGCTCAAGGCTGAGCATCTGGGAACTGTTCTAAACAGTTTCCCTGGAAAGGTTCTACCACACTAATAACACTTCAGAGCTTTTATTTGCATTCATATTAAAGCTGCTGCTACTGCTGCCCATACTGACTCCCTGCTGCGTGTGGGTGGAGATGCCCTGTAAGATGGCACCCTCACCATTCCCTAGCTCAGCTACCTCTATTTTCTGCTGCAGGATGCTCAGCTGGTGTCGCAGAGCTGGGAAGGGAGCCAGCAGCCTGATGAGCTCAGCGAGCACGCGGCGTTGGCCCGGCAGCAGTGGGACACGTCCCTGCGCTGCTGCTCGCAGATGCTCGGGAAAGAAATGCTGTCCAGCAGGTCCAAAGGTTGCTGTGGCCTGCAGCCCGTCAGCTTCCAGAGTGGGAAACAGGTTGGAGGCCAGCTAGGAAAAGCAGCTACAGCAGCTGCTGTTTCCCTAACCCCTTCTTGTCTCTTCCATCGGGCAGAGAAGTCTGGCTGCAAAGAGCAAAGATTACGGAATTGTAGAACGGTTTGGGTTGGAAGGGACCTTAGAGATCATCCCATTCCAACCCCCCTGCCTGGGACACCCTCTTCTAGAGCAGGCTGCTCGAAGCCCCATCCTGCCTGGCCTCAAACACTTACAGGGATAGGGTGGTTGCTCCAAGGTGGCCACCTCCTGGGGTCCCAGCACAGCTGCCATCCTCTGGGCATGGCTAGACAGACAGCTGGGACTATGAGAGGGTGCCTGGATTCAGCTTACCACCAGGCATGTGCAACAGGCTGGTACCTCTTCTTCCCTTTCCTCTGAAGACATTCTCCTCACAGGGCACTACCTGACCGACCCAGTATTCAGGTGGCATTGCTCTTCTTTCCTAGGAGCTCATACCCTGCCAGAGAGGGGGAAATCACGGCTGCAACATGCTAGAACTTTGCCCTTGGAGATGGCATCTCTACCAGCCACCATTCACTTCTGCTTCTTTTTCCTCCTCCCATAAAATAAAGTTTAATTGAGTTAACAATACTGTTGACTCTACAATCAAGTTTAGTTTCAAATGGCAAAATTCAGTGTGTCAGGTAGCTTTACTCTCCTTGACAACATAGTGCCTCAAGAAGTGTGTTGATTACTTGTGTTGGCCTTAATAGTCTTTCCAGCCAGTAATGAGAGCTGCCACTCAATTTTGAAACTCCACTGATCTGGGTATTATTATCCCCATGGAGAACTGCTCTGGGCCCCACTTTAAAGTTCCTCATTAGCTTTGAAAGAAGACCTTTCCTGTTGCTTACATTTGCAAACAAACAGGCTGGGTTTTGTACAAAGACAGTGAACCGCATTACCCTCCTGCCCTTTTCTGGAGCAAGGAAGGATGGTTTTGCTTCCCTCAGCCTGTGGGAAAAAGGCCCAGGAGCTGAACAACCACAAAAACAAGGGTGCGTAGGAGGAATGGGTAGAGCAGGAGCAGGACAGGACATGAAGGGCTTGCGTAGGGTCATAGGAAATGCCAAATACTGAAGATTAAAGCTTAAAACAAAATAACACTCCAGAAATCTACCTCCTTCAGTCAAGTTGTGGCACAGCCAGCTTTTTCACACAGTTAATTATCCTCATGACAGCTCCACACAGAGCTGCTTGTGTTAGGCCAGCTCACACGCACTGCAGCAGGCACACAGTGCAGAAGTTTTAGGGAGATATCTGCTGAATACACATTTTGCTCAACTATTTTTTTAAACAATAGTGCTTCCATTCTTTTAAGAAGCTTTTTTTTTTTACATTTTTAAAATTTTGGAAGTAAAAATAAACTAAAAAAAAAGGGAATTGTTCTTTGAACTGTTCTATACTTACCGCTTTTGGCTGCAGATAGTTGAACCTGATCCTATTACAAGAAATCCCCTCCCACGTGCTATTAGCCAGTTTCCAGTACACACACTTCAGTACGTTCACTATTTATTTCCCCTGCCTGGATCTCATATATCCAAGTGACCTTTCCTCCTGTGCAGACAACAGGAAAAGAACTCAAGGAAGAGGAAGCACAGAGTTAAAAGAACAGCACCAGGAACTATAATCAGAGGGCAGGGAAAGGAGAAGTGAATTCCTGCCTGTGCTGGCATCAAGCAGCTGCTGCTTGGGTCAGACAGGCCCCTTGTAATCAACTCTGAGCTTAACCAAAGCTTGGCATTAGTCCTTCTCTTTACCTGTTGTTTTTTAATTTAATTTTATTTTTTTTTCTCCAAGGGAAAAAAGGGAACGCATTTTCCATCTTTTTAGGTAAGGGGCAGGACAAGGCAGTGGGAGAGCCACCCAACCAGCACATTTAGAGTGGTTTAGTGAGAAAGTTTCTGGAACAACACTCCCACCTGCAGGGCCCTCTGTTTGTTACAGCTGGGAACTTAGTGGTAGTCTGAGAAAAAACAACTTCCCTTCAACCCTGCACCACAAGCTCATGCTCAGATTTTAATTTGATGCCAAGACTAACATCTGGGTCACAAGCCCTCCTGGCTACAGAACCTGGCAACACTCAGCAGTGGTGCCCTGATGCCATGGATAAATCTCGGTGGGACACAGCTATAAACATTCAAAGGAAAACTTTCTCTGTGTGAGAGCTCCTCCTTGGAGAAAGGGAAGATTGTGAGTAGCCAAAATGGAGGAGTCATCTCCATTCCAGCCTGCACTCTTTGAAGGCCTCAGCATGTCAGAGAGATGATTTAATGTATGTGTTAACATGAAATGGAGAGGCCATTCACACAACTGAGTCATCCTAAAGAGAGGAATGCTTGGATCACAGCAATGACATGGCTCGTCTTCATCACCTGTCATAACAATCACTACTACAAAGGCAAAGAGAGACAGTGTCTGCAACAATTATTTAATCAAACGACATATAAAAAGTTTTTGCAATGACTGACAGACCTGACAGGGGCTGTAATCAGAACCCAAACTGCAGGGTTACTCAAGTTTAACAGTCTTTCAAAGCATCCTTCCCTTCTTAATGCTGGTTCAAAACATTTCTCCATTCAGGTACAGTACTTTCAATACTCCCTGCCAAATAACACAGGTAGCAGGAGCCTTATATCCTGAGGAAGGGGAAAAAGGTTTTTATTTGGCTTGGTCCACCCTTCTACATCAAGAATGCAAGACATGCTGGCTGCAGGAAGATAATTATAAGGATAACACACCTCAGAGTCAAGAGCACCTCTGTGGCTTTATCTGGCCAGTGACAAGCTCTGCCCACGTGCAGAGCTGCTCTGCAAGTCCAGCACAGAGGCACCTGCCCCATGTGCCATCTCAAACACGCCAAGGAAATGCCCAGGCCTCAGAGCCAGACTGGAGAAGCTGCAGAAAGACTGGAGCTGCAAAATCCCTGTCACAATGTCTATGGGATCCCAAAGTATTCCCTCTCAAATTTACGGAAATCTTCCTCAGTGAACACAGTGCCTTCTGGCTTCTTCTTTTCTCTCTTCTCTGGAGGCTGATCTTTGGACTTCCTGCCTCTGTTCTGAGCAAGAACCTTCAGACAATACAGAAATGGAAAAAACAACAGTCATTGTTATCCAGACCAAACCATAAAACAGTGATTTTCAAGCTCACCTGCAGCATCCCTGCTGTTCTACAAGAACCCTGCTATTTTCCAGAGTGCCCCCAAAGAGAGAGACAAACCACTGATGTTAACCAAAGCAGGTCACTGGGGCAACAGCAGATACCAACTTGTTATTTGGAGTCAAATATGAAAACTATTTTCTAGTAATGGTCACAGAGATAAGAATATGGATTTCAATTCAGAACTTTATGAAACTATTACCTTCTTTTTTTATCCCCTCTCTCCATGACACAAACCCAAAAACCAACAAGTTGGTGGAATTTCCTCAGCATTTTCTAATACACTGTCACCTCCTGTCACAACCTCCAGCCTCAGAAACACTGGCCTAAACCACTTTCTCTGTTTATGAAAGTTATGAAAGTTAACAGCCTATATCTCATAAAAACAGCCCAAGATTCTACCACTGTCACCTATTCTTCTCTTCAAATCCTGGCATGAGACTACCTTTTGGGCAAGACCATTCAAGAAATTCTCAAGTTATGAGAAAAACCATTTAGGAAGCTGAGTAATTCCCATTAGATGAGCTAGCAGCACATCTGCTTCCTCGTTAATCAGCCTCCAGCTACAGACCAGTTTCATCAACAGAAATGAGAAGGTTTGAACCAGGGCATCTTTGCCAGCTGAAACCATGAAATATTTTGGTAATTAAGAAGAGCCAACAGCTGTCAGGATATTTTGAGGAACCTGATGTAGTGGCTGTCATTCCTGCCATGGCAGGGTGGATGATGAACTGGATAATCTTTCAAGGTCCCTTCCCACCCAAACTGTTCTACCATTCTATGATTTGGACTAGTATCAGAGAACATCATAGGGGGCAACATACCAACAACACTTTAAAGTGTACAAAGTTATTTTGCCAGGGCACACAGAAATTCCTCAAGGCCATCTGCAGACAGAAACTTAACTTGACTCTCTTGTGTAAGGTATCAATCTGGAAGATCCAGGGATGATTCCCATTCCCCCGTGTTTCAGGGGGAAATAGACCCCCTCACCCCCAACAAAAACTACAGCCTTACTTGTTCTGTGACGGCTTTGTCTGCAACAAGTCGTCCCTTTAACATGTACCGCAGGTTTTCTCTCAGGTGATTCACAGGCTTCTTCTTATGGTACTCCTCTGGGGCAAAGCAGAAAGCGACAAAACGCATTAGCTGCTCACAAGAACAAAGGAGGACCAGCAAAGCCCCGGGAGAACGAGGAGGAAGACACCGCTACAGCTCGGGACGGGATGCGCCCACGAATGAGGCTGTGTTTGCGGTGAGCGACACCAAGAGGGCACGCAGGAGAACGGGACGCGATGGGATGGACACGGCCACCGGCAGCGTGGCTACGGGACACCACAAAGGCCCCCGGTGCTGTGGAGGGCTCGGGACTCACCTATCGCCGACTTCACCACTCTGCCCTTCACCGTGGCCTTGTTCCTGCCGGCCTCCAGGGCCCTCTTCCTCCGCCTCGCCGCGCCCGCCGCCCTGGGCCCGGCCCGGCCGCGCTGGAGTCCCGGCGGCGCCTTCGCCCGGCCTGCAAGGGGAAGGGGCACGGAGTCACTGCGGCCGTACCGGGGAGCCCCCGTGCCCGCCCAGCCCCGGCCCCGCGGGCTCACCCGGCGGCTCCAGCAGCTCCAGGCCGCGGCGCAGCAGCGATGCCGACATGGCCGCACTGCCCCGGCCCGGCCCGGCCCGGCCTGCAGCGCCCCGCGCGGCCCGGCGGGAGCGCGGCCCGCCCTCAGGGCCGGCTGCGGGGGGACGGGCTCCTGTCCGACCGCTGCACACACAGCAAGGGCTGTCTGCTGAAACAGGCATTTTCACCTCAAAACCAGACGGAATTTCTCCGCGGTTAGGGCGGCAGAGCGCCGGAACAGACTGCACGGGGGAGGTCGTGGAGGCTCCGTCTCTGGAGATATTCAAAATCATCTGGATGTCTTCCTGTGTCAGCTGCTCTAGGTGACCCTCATTTGCTAGGGACTGGGCAAAATGATGTGGCTGTCTTAAGCCAGGATGTTCTTTGGTGCAAGATCTTTGAATACTTTCAGTGCTAATCAGCAAGAAAAAAGACTTAATCGGTGTAACAGGCAGCAGCCAGCATCCCTTAGTCAAGGACATCCAGGAACTAACAGACTTTAAGGATGTAGTAAATCACAGTGTTCTGTATCAGTAGAACAGATAGCAGGATATCCTGGAACTAACAACCTTTTAGGATGTAGTAAATCAAGATGTTGATGTGTGTCTATGTATATATTGCTAACTTGGCAAAATACTCAAGGTCAGTTTATGTTCTCTGTAATACTAAAAGTCATGCCAAAAGGTCAAAAAGACCAAGTGAAGGCCCTTCCCCTGAGCCTGCACAGAGATTAGCTGGGGTCATGTAATTACTCCTACTAACTCATCACAACACAGGGGCTGTAATGGGAAAGTTACAAACTCTGAAGTTCTGTGTATAAACCACGGTGTGGAAAGTCTGATGGGTGTGCTTGGTTTGGGGAATGTCACCGAGCACCTGGGCTCACACAACTCTGAAATAAATAATCAAGTCTCTCCTAAGTGTGTAATTATTGGCTTGTTGCACACCAGGTAACGAATCCGATTTTGTGGAAAACACAAGGGGTTCTGCCAATGCCAGGAGGAAAGGGGATGGTGTCATGTTTTGTCTCAGCAAGGCCCCAAATTCCAGATTTAACTGTGCTAGACTCATCAGGGCGAGAGGTTGACTCTGACATAAATTGCATTTATTATTCATGGTTACTTTAGTCTATTTGTTTAAAGCTCTCTTCTCCAGTTTTCACCTCTCTAGAGACTTCATGCTAATATCTGCTAAATTTAGCTATCATTTGAATGAAGCTTATTCAATTATAGCCAGTGCTGCCAGTAAGGAGCTGACACTGGAGGAGGAAAGCAGTTTATTCTCCCTCAAACGTGTCCTGCAGGGAGAAGGGGATACAAATGGCTCTCATTGTTTCTCATAGTCATGGTCTGTAACAGGGACCAATAACACTTAAACCTCTGTGTATTAAAAGGCAGTCATTCTCTGGAAATTGTTCTCCAGCCCCTGCAGATGTCGCCTCAATGCCTGTCTTTTATTGTTCCTTCTCTTCTGAATCCCTCCCTGGATGGGTATCAGCATCCTGTGTCAGTTTCTGCTGGAGCTGCTGATTCATTTTTCTGGACAGGACGTACATGGTGCCTATTCCTGGCTCCAGAGCTCGGGAACCGTTTACTGCTTGTTCAGCATGTCACTTCTCACTCCTAGTTTTCCCTTAAATGAGCTATATTTTTTAAAAATTGATTTGGAGGGACAGTCACTGGATATGTAACTCAGAACACTTCTCCATGTTCTTGCCTTCTGTTAGTAGCTGGTGGAAAATTGAACTGGTTCAGCTCTTATTCCCTGCCAGATTTGTCCTTCCAGTTGTGTGAAAGTTCACGAAGTTACAAAGAGGTTATTGTAGCTTTGTGAAGAAGCTGAACAAGCCATGAGTTAACAGCCTATTGCTGAAATTGAAGAAAGCAATAAAGAATATTATAGTCAGCAGAAAAGTTGTTACTGCTTGTATATGCACATTATCTTCATCTTGGTCAGAGTGAGATAAATGATAGCTGCCAGTGCCAGGGGGAAGGTATTTTCAGAATACTTCATCAGTCAAACACTCTCTTTTAGCCCCTAAAATACAATTTACAGGTTCTGTGTAAGCTGTTCATGGTTTCATATCACACAGTATATTCAAGACAGCTTATTCTACTGATTAAACACCATGTTTGTGTAATTTATCAGGAACACCTAATACATTGTTACACGTGCTTTGTGTCAGGATGGTGCAACCTCACAAATGCCTTATGCAGGCATCTGATGGAAAAACATATTTTTTGCCAACCCTGCAAAACATGTTTAGCAAATTAGTGTGATAGAAGCTGCACTGATGTGTTATCCTGTTCATGGAACACAGACGCCCTTTTCTACCTCAAAAGTAAACCATTACCATCTAATTTCCATTTCTGTTGTGCCAATTAATAATGCTCTCAGTTATGTAGGTGTCTCAGAAAGTCTGAGTCCCTTCTTATTAAATACCCTCAGTAGCAAGGACCCATAATGCAGACAACTCCTCCTTTGACCAGCAAGGCTGGGTGCAGACTTGCTGTGATTTTAGTCAGCAATTACCTGCAGAATAAAATTTAATGAGCACACAGGGGTCACTTTGCTGAAGAGGGAGGCAAGGCACTTTCTTTAACTGCATTCACAGTCTCCTGCCTCAGAGTCTGGCCAGGCTCTTGAAACTGGTTAGTTCACCAAGAGGTTAAATGGATGCACACTTTGTGGTTTGACATATTCCCCAGGCTTGGATCTGTTGCCAAAGATCATGGTCTAACATAGGCTGTGGAGCTTTTAACACTTGGTGAAATCACGTACCTATTATTAATACATTACCTTTCTTCATCTCCTTTTAACAGGATCTGACAGCTTTTCTTAGGGCATGATTGTTGCTGTTTCTCCTGACTGTGTTCTGGCAGCAGCTGTGCTTGGTCTTACCAGACGTGGTGATTTCAGCACCTGTCCTGCTCCTGATGGGTGGCCCTTGCACAACCAACACCTGCCACACTTGTGCAGACAGAGGTGCAGAGTCTTCCTTTGCTCTTTGACCTTAATAGAGAATTATGCTCATATCTGCTCCCTGCACTGCAAAACAAGATAAATTTGTTGGCTTATATTAGGAATGTAAAATCATCTCCTAATATGAACTGTGTTTTGCCTGTGTAGTATATGTTGCTTCTACTGTAGCTGTAGAATGTAGGCATTTGGATCACATAATGTCTTCTCCATGTTGCAAACTGCAAAATATCCTCTGCTGACTTTAGATTAAGTCAACTGCCTGTTTCTGATGAATCTGTTTTGTGCTGAGCACAGCATATGAAATGCTGTATTTCTCTTTGTAGGAGCTTCCATGGCTTTATCAGTCTCTCAGTGGTGATATGCTCCTTGTGTCATCATGATATATGCATTTAACTATGCCTTTCTTTTACTCAGTCACTCTTGAAAGCAACTGAGTAGATCCTACAAATAGCTTTTTCCAGACTAGTATGTACCATTAAAAACTTAATGTTATAAGATTTTGTCTATGTCAGTACAAAAAAACCCCAAAAACCTGTAGTATGTCATTATACTATTTTAAGGCCTCTGTTCAAATTAAAATTTCATCCAAGATGAATAAAATTAAAATTTCATTGCTTTGCAATCCCTCAAAAATCAGTTCAGTTAGCTCTTTGAAGCACTTTGGGGACAGAATGAATGCAAATGGTCTTCATTTAAATGTATAACATCCAAATAAATCACTGTCTTAGAGCCTGAATAATCTGAGTTTAGATGGCAAAAGCCACAGGTGCTGCATTTCAGATTGAGAATGCCTTTCTTTGTGAGATTTAAGATGTCTTCGAAAGCTTCCTGACGCTAACGTTCATGTTTTATTGCTTTCTTTAAATCTCATGCCTCAGTGGGTAGCTGGCTTTTCCAGTACTAAATAACCCAGCCTACAGATCAGTTGGAGTTTTAAGTAACTTCCATATGTGAGTATTATCAGTTCACTTTCTGCTTGCTTTCTTATGGCACTGAAAAATGGTAATTTTTCCTGCTTGAACATGCGGATAAAATTCCTGGTTCATCTTGGAACAACTATTATTTCCCTGTTATTCTGGGCTTTGGATGACATCTGATTTAGCTCATTCCACCTTATTATTCTGTGTTACATGCTAACAAAGATGTACCTGATATTTATGTCTAATCATACTGCTGTCTGTGGCAGTTCATAATAGCTGTCTGTTTGCTCTTACTTTATGTTCCAGCTTCTGGATTCAGGGGGTTATGTAGGAGTGTCAGTCTGAAGGAATGTTGTGAAGGATGTGAGAAGACAGAAGCTAAGGGCAGCATTAGAAGTAAAATATAACAAACACAAGCATTTATTTAGTTTAGGGCTTTTTAAAAAGCCACAGTTTTATGATTTTGGGAAATGGGATCCTGATGTCTGAGCACTTGGTACAGTCCACAATGCCACATATCTCTGCATTGTCTCTTCCAAATAAATCAGACTGATTTTCAAGCTGATTAATAGCAGATTTTCACCTCAGCATGTTTTTTCATATGTGGATTATGGAATGTGCTTTGCTTTAAGCAGCTGTCCAGTTTTACCATTTCCCGTATTCGTTATTTTCTCTTGAACAGCAATACCCAATGCTGCTGTCATTAATATTTAGCTGTGTTTGCCAACTTGAAGCAGTTTGTGCTGTGGCCATCGTTCCTACAAAGAGCCATGGGTCACTGTACCTCAAGTGCACGGGAACCTTTGTCCTTTAACAGTGTGACATGCCCTTGAAAAGCAATTTAACTTTCCAGCCTACTGAATTTGAACAGGGGCTGGGCAGTGCTTTGATTCATACACTTGCATGGATAATATCTAGTTATTTTAGACTGATAGAAAGTATTTTATTCTGTTGGGTTATTTTTTTTTAATCCAGTACAGACATCTACCTCTTCCATTCACTTTTCAGTGACCTGTTCCAGTTCACCAAGGATCTTCCTCTGCCTTGCATGGGTCTGTGGATAATGTTGGAGCAGGTTAAGATTAAATCAGCTTCCCACTGTACAAGATTCTGTAGCAAGACATGAACTCTGCCCCTGAAAGAGACATCCTATACAGAAGAGATAAGGAAGCACAAAGATTAAGCAACTCTCGATGTCCTTGTCCTCTATCTGTTATTTTCTTTTGCTTCAAATGGAAAGAGAACAAGCATCAATAGCTCTGCTGGTACTGTAGGACCCCACTTTATAGATAGAGAAAATATTTTTAAGTACATAAAATGTTGTACTTGGAAAAAAAAACCCAAAAAACCAAAAAAACAAACAAGCCCTTCTTCAGGGCTTAGAATACCACAAGAAAGCACTTTGCTAGTAATAATTTACATAAAATACAGAGTTGGTGTCACAAGGTTTTTGTGGCCAGAAAAAACCTCAAGTGCACGGGAACCTTTGTCCTTTAACAGTGTGACATGCCCTTGAAAAGCAATTTAACTTTCCAGCCTACTGAATTTGAACAGGGGCTGGGCAGTGCTTTGATTCATACACTTGCATGGATAATATCTAGTTATTTTAGACTGATAGAAAGTATTTTATTCTGTTGGGTTATTTTTTTTTAATCCAGTACAGACATCTACCTCTTCCATTCACTTTTCAGTGACCTGTTCCAGTTCACCAAGGATCTTCCTCTGCCTTGCATGGGTCTGTGGATAATGTTGGAGCAGGTTAAGATTAAATCAGCTTCCCACTGTACAAGATTCTGTAGCAAGACATGAACTCTGCCCCTGAAAGAGACATCCTATACAGAAGAGATAAGGAAGCACAAAGATTAAGCAACTCTCGATGTCCTTGTCCTCTATCTGTTATTTTCTTTTGCTTCAAATGGAAAGAGAACAAGCATCAATAGCTCTGCTGGTACTGTAGGACCCCACTTTATAGATAGAAGAAATATTTTTAAGTACATAAAATGTTGTGCTTGGAAAAAAAAAACCAAAAAAATAAAAAAACAAACAAGCCCTTCTTCAGGGCTTAGAATACCAGAAGAAAGCACTTTGCTAGTAATAATTTACATAAAATACAGAGTTGGTGTCACAAGGTTTTTGTGGCCAGAAAAATGGGTTTTGGCATCCAGACTCACAAAAATGCCTGAAAGTCCAGTGCCCTCATACTTTCTATTTTTCCCTGAAGGGAAAATTCTCTTCAGAAGAGCATCTGCTGGTCTTGCACACCTTCTGGAGTGGAGCAGGCAAAATAATTCTGCAGCTGAAGGGGAAAGACTTCTCTCTCTGTTTCCCACTGCTACCCTTAAATTTCAAAAGGATGATGGAGTAGAAGGATCCTAGGGCTCAGAGGGATTGACTTTGCCCTGTTCCTTCTGTGGGCCATGGGCATGGTTTCTGGGTCTTCCTCCTACCCTCCCCCACCTTCTTCATTCCTGCAGAATTTGGTCTGGGAGAAAAGGGCAGACTTCACTGCCACTGTTTCCCTCAGTTTGAAAGACCTAAACCTACCCTGCTGTAGTTGCTTTCCTCTTTCCCTAAGAACCTAGGAGAAGATGCTAAAGATCCTTAGGAGCAGGGATGGTCCTGAGTGAACAAAATACACGGGAGCTGTGGAACTGCTAAATGCTGGAGAACAGGTGTAACAGATGGCAGACACAGGAAGGGGCAAAGGCAGGGCTTGGAGAGAGCACAGGTTTGGTTTATAGATTTTCAGGCTGAATAAAAAGCATTATAGAAAGGTGAATAAATTGTGGAAAACGCTTACTGCCACATGTACACATTGGGAACTACTGCAAACTTGAGAGATTTAGGATCCTGTCTTGCTTATTGGGGATCTGACTTGTTAATTTTTGTGGTTTTGTGTCATTGGCACTGCTGGATCAGAAGTTTAGAACTGTTTCATGGAAGTCTTTACAAGCTCTTCCAGGGTGTCTTCCCTTGTTATTTTGGAACTTACAGTTAGTGTGGGTTTGATGAGACTTCCATCAGCATCTGAGCCTCCCAGTTTACCAGTGCAGGCACACAGTTTGTGGTGAGTGGCAGTGGGGCTGTGCCCGTGTCTCATCCCCAATGGGCACAGCTGTGAGCAGCAGGTGAGCAGCACTGACAGCAATGAGCCATGGAGTGCCCAGGGGCACTGACCCATCACCAAAGGGAACAGAGGGCACACAGGTGCAATGCATGAACGTGAGGGTATAAAAGGTTGGGCTAAAAAACCCAAAAAACCCACAAAAATGAAAACAAACCTTCAAGAAGGGCAGATGCTTGCAGCCTTGTGAGGTAAGCTGGTGTTACTCTGTAGGGGCAGGTGCCTGAAGCCTTCTGGTGTGGTATGGTGTTATTCTTTATGGACAAATGAGTTGAAGATTTCTGAAATTGTATGGTGATACTCTGTGTATTGTGGCTATTTCAACTGTGATGTATTCTGAGACATACCAGGACTTTTGTTTTCCTTTTAAATCAGCTTCAAGTCACTGGACTGTTAACCTGCTGGCTTTAGTTTTTTGCTTTCTTTCATCTGGATTTCAGCCTTTTTTTTTTTCCTTTTCTACTTCTAGAATTGATCTTTCCTTTTTAAATTGCAGACTGACCTCCCTGGTTGACACCTGGCCATCTTTTGTTTCACTTTTGGCTTTCCATTTACTGTTTACTTCTTCCTTACTGTGTTTGTTTCCTGCTTTGTGACTTTCTTTTGTGTTTTAATCAGAAATACAGGTCTTCCATGCCAGAATCTGAGAAATTCACCCCATGAAATCTCCCCACTGAATACAGAGAAAATGGACGGAAACTGAAATGAGGATTTTGTGGCAAGGTTCAGCATATAACATTTTTTAACTAGAGGATTTATGAAAAGGCAGTATGATTCTCTGTTCTGGAAATATTGTGGACTTTGATGAAATAACATCTTGTTTCCTCCAGGAAGGATGTATTTTGTCCTGGTTACAGTGGAATTAATGATTTCTCATGTAAAGAGCTTGGAAATACCCAGAGAAGATGTTGCATTACAGCTGAGACCTTACGTGTCCTCGTGCTGTGTAGATGTGAAATTGGGAATGGCAGTGGCTGCTGAACATGGCTGCTTTCAAAGCACTGACGACGAGGTGGAAGGCTCTGTGTTTTGTTCCCAGCCTCTCTGCTCCTTAAAATGTTTACAAGCCCCAGAGCTGGCTCAGAATGCAGCGAAGTTTAGCTAGTTATTCTTGTCATCAATTATTAAGGCTTTGGAGACAGGAGGTGGGCTGGGGCCATCACGGGTTTTGCTGCCTTAGGCAGGCCTTGTTAGAGGCTGTCTGTGCTGCTTGGTGCAGAGCCGAGCTGGGGGAGCTGGGGCAGCATTGCCTGCTGCTGCTGCAGCCCCTGCCTGCTCTGTCCTCTGCTGGCACAGCCTCATCTTCTTCCCATGGCTGCAGCTATGGCATGCATGTCCCTGCTTCAGTTACCAAAGGTGGGGCATCTCCCCTGCTCTTCCCCACTCCCTTCAGGTTTGAAGGGCTGGAGGTTTATAGCTGCAACACTCACTGTGGTTTTCTAATTTCTGGGATTTTTTTTTTTCAGTATTGTTCAGAGCTGCACAGAATAACTTGTGAGGTTTCTGAGATCAAGGGAAGATATTCTGTCTGGTGGCTGGCATGCTGCATTCATCAGTGTAGTGCCAGGCCTCTCTGCACTCTACCTTTGTAATTTTTTTTCTATCTCCTTTTTTTCCCCTTTCCTTCCTTTGTACTCTCTCTAATAGCTGTATTTTGTCTTTCCTTGTCTTATTCCCTGCTTCTTTGACTGCTGTCTCTTTTTACTGTTTTTGCTTCTCCAAACAGGATCTGCAATTTCTGAGGCCGTGGGAGGGTGACAGTTCAACCTGACTTTTTACTATTTATTCTCGACTCCCAGCAGTTGAGTCTCTCTAAATGATATGTTTGGGTCTCTCCTCTCCTCCTTCCTTTTCACTCCTCTCCCTTCAGCACAGTAGAAGGACTGAAGCAGGTACTTGGGGTACTCTCACTCTCTTGGGGTGCACCCTGGAGGTGCTGGGTACCAGACCCCATACGCTGTGAAATGGGACCCCTGCGGGCCAGGCTGCCTTTGCCAGGGCCACATCTCCTGCTCTGCCTCGGTCCCCTGAAGTCCGGGAACAAATGCCAGCGGGAGACGAGGCTGCTGCCGTTCCTTGCAAGGGTGCATGGTGCCACTAGGGCTCTCCTCACTAGATGTCACTGTGAGGCTGAGTTTTGCCTGCCACAGGCACTGCAACCAGGAGATGGTGTTGGGTGATGAGTTTTAGGAAGGCCCTGCCAGAAGCAGGGGGAGGGCATGGAAGAGATTTTCAGGACAAACGTGGAGTTGTTGTAGGTTTTACCCATCCCTGACAAGTTTTGGGAACAGAACCAGCAAGATACACGGGAACTTTGGGGTGCAAATCCATACCACTGCCATGGAGCACACATCCTGTGTGACAGTCATCAGGGTGACTTTGTTCTGAGTCGTGCTCATCTCCTGTTGGTCACCATACCGGTTGGGCAGTGAGTCTCTTGCTAATTAGTGCTCTGCCCGGGATTGCTGTTTACTGTCCCATCTGCCAGTAGCCCTGTCCCCAGCAGAGCTTTGTACTCAGAGTGGCCATGGTGCTGCCTCTCTCTCAGGGCTGCTGTGGAGAGGATCCCTGGGAGGCACCGTGGTGACCCCCAAACACGGTGGGGGTGAGTGGTGGAGGGAGGCTTGCCAGGGGCTGGGCTTGTGTTGTGTCTGGTGCTCCATGTGTGGAGTCTCGAGGCTTGACTTCATGTTTTCAGAAGGCTGGTTTATTATATTATGATATATATTATATTAAAATACTACATTAAGATTATACTAAAGGAATAGAGAGAAAAGATCATCAAAAGGCTAGAAAGAATAGGAATAGAATGCATAATAAAGTCTTGTGACTGCTCACAGCCTCGACACATGTGGCTGTGATTGGTCATCAATTGAAAACAATCCACACAGACCAATCACAGATGCACCTCTTGCATTCCACAGCAGCAGATAGTTATTGTTTACATTTCTCTCCTGAGGCTCCTCAGCTTCCCAGGAGGGAAAAATCCTAGCAAAGGATTTTTCATAAAGTATCATGACTACAGGCTTGTCTCTTGCTAAGGAAGCTAGGTGGCTGGAGCCATGGGCCCCTGATGCTGAAGATGTGGGGCATGAGTGCAAGGCGGGCCTTTTGTCTCTTGAGCTTGACTCCCAGAAATTGAATTCATCTAAATCAAAAGACCATCTCTTCCCTTTCTTGTATTCATTGCTCTGCTTTTTGTTCCTTGAACTTTGTAAACTGGACCCCAGGATCATGTCTGCAACCTTTGAGAAGTCCCTGCTGAGCAGAACCTGTAAACTGTGTCCTAAGGGAGAGTAGCTACTAATAAATGCCCCATGAACCTTTGTATCAGTGGCACAGATGGTATTTAGGAGAGTTAGTTTGTTTAATTTTTAAGTTAATCCACTGCAATTTGAACAAGGGTTACGTGGATAGCCATCAGCTCCAGGGAAGCATTTTGGTCTGGTTGTGTGTAGCTGTACAGCCTCTTGTCTCACTGGGAACACCGTGATTTATTTTGGGATGAGCGCACACCCCATATACATGTCAGCATCCACGTGAGTCTCTACCTGGGTGTACTTGCACAGAGGGAGAAGTGCCATGCAGGCACAGTGCTCAGCTGGTGTCGTGCAGCCAGATCTCTGCGTAGGGTTCAGGTGGCTGTAGGGGACTCTGTGTTTGTGTGCAGCCTGGCTCTGTGCATTTACACAGGCAGCAGTGCTAGCAAAGATGGGAAAGCAACTGGATGCAAATCACCAGGATCTGCAGCCCTTGTGGCCGGCCAAATTGGTGGGGAGCCCCAGAGACTTCCCCACTGCACTCACCTTGCCCTGCTCTTTGAGCTTGTGCTGCACTGGAGGCTGAATCCAGCTCCACTTGCTCCCATGCCAAGGCACATTAACAGTCACTTTATCACAGTGCAGCCCAATTAATATTTGATTCTGGTGAATGAAGGAGGGCAGAGAGATTAAATGGGGTTGCTAGCTGGGGTGGTGGGAGTGGTGAGAGGCAGACGTGCTCTTTTTTGTGCAGCCCAGAGGAGCAGGACTAAAAGGCTTTCTAGGAGGAGGAATGAGGATTCTACCAGGCTGAATACTCTGTGGGATGATGCAGGAGGAGCAGTGAGCTGCTTGAACCCTCTGGGCCCTAATCATACAGCTCTAATAGAGGGGACATGGCTATTAGCTGGTGCTGATAGAAGGTGTAGGACTTGAAGCAGACCCCTCCCTGCAGGAAGAGAGGGACAGATCCAGGCCACAGAGTTCTGAGGAGCAACTTCTGTGTCATTTACTTGATGCATTGGCAGATAGCAACGTGGTGTCAGTGGTGCACTGTCGGTTCTGCTCAGCAGGATGTGTGGCTTTGCTTTCACAGCCCAGGCAGGTGAGATGAGGCAGATGGACTCTGCCTCGTGGCAGAGGTGACTCCTGTGCCATCCTCTTGTTTGCAGAGCTGCCTGAAGTCCCCTGAAGGCTGGGTGGCCCAGCATTGCTCAGCTGGGTCAGGAGAAGCTGGTCTGGGCAGCTGCTGCTTTAAGACTCTCCCAGGTGTGATTGTCCCTACACAAGTATGCATCATTTCACTTCCCAATTGAAAAGCCAAATGAAGTTTCCAGGCAGTTTGCAGTTTTTCTGATTCGCTTATTTGCTTTTCTTCTGTTCTTTCCTTTTTTATTTTTATTTTTTTTTTCTTTCTGTCTTCTGTCTGTATTCGCTCCTGCCAGCGGCCTGCTTGGAATTTAGTTTGTTTCAAGGGCAGGAGAAATTCATTTTCTGATTTCATATTTGGTGCAGAATAGCTTCTCCCCCTCCTTCATTCCCTTTCCCTGCCTTTTGCTGAAGTAAAGAAGGATGTCTTGGCAATATTTCCTTTTTAAAATCCCCTTCTGCTCTCTTGTAGCTATTTGGCCTCTTGGCTGACAGTGTGGGATAAGTGCTACCAATGCACTCCTTTCCTGATCCAAGAGCTGGAGAATACACTGTTGGGCATATTGCAGAAAACAGAGTGAGAGCACATCTTATGACAAATTTAGCTGAAAACAAAAGGAAAATAAATATTTAGGACAGTTGGAGGGGTTTTCATCGTCCCTGGGATACCATCTCAGGAGCTACTGAGCCCCTGGGAGTTGTCAGCATACAGAGAATATCTCGGGGTCCAGCAGATATGGGCTGACCCTGACTGCACCTGGGAGCACTGAACAGGAGCACAG